GAGAACGATTTCCGAAGTGGAAATTGAAACGTCAATAAACGTATTTTATCTTTAATTGTGGCTTCTTATCCCAGTTAAATAGTAATTAAGATAAGATACAGTTACAAGTTCTGGTTGATATATGAATTTTTGACTAGTCCAGGTGTAGCCATAATTGTTGCCAAGATGAAAGAGCGTAGGTTGAGATGGTTTGGTCATGTTCAACGTAGATCATCCAATACGAAGAATTACTGTTCTGTGGGTTCCTGGAAGTAGTAGGAGAGTAAGACCAAACAAGACCTTGGGGTAGACGCTTAGGAAAGGAATGTCGGGAAAGGGTATTAATATTAATATGATCCAAGATAGAATCTTACAAAGAAATGTAATTAAGGAAGCCAACATCGCATAGGGATAAAGGCACTATATCAATGATGACAATAATTGTATCAATTGTTTTCTATACTTGCTAAATTAAACCATGCTAAGGATCATCATCCAATATTAGTTCAATATGTAGAAATTATGAAATCGGAGTTCCTATGCCACTATTGATCGATACACGTCGGACGTGGGGCCATGAGCATACGTATTGGTCGATAGACATCGGAATGTAGGGCCACGAGGATACCTATTGGTCAGGGCGTGGGGATATGAGAATACGTAAGCTTGATAGATAAAAGAAGAAGAAGAATTGACGCTATCTTTACGTTTGAACGATGTTATACAAAAAAAAAGAATTTCACAATCTTCACGTTTAAACTATGACAGTCGACATGACAGTTGACATGACAATTGACAGCTGTCAGACGCCATCTTGTGACGTCACACGTTAAAATTTTCCCATGCCCAACCGTTCCAATGCCCGATGAAAACTTCCATTTCGTTTTTGTCAACGTTTATATCTCTACTCCTTTTACGCAAAAATTGACGGAAACAGATTTTTAGCCACTGGCAAGGTTTAGAGAAAGTAATCATATACTGGCAAAGCGGTTGGTAAAGCACTGGCAAAGCGTTTGCAAAGCGGTTTGTTTAAGAAATAGAAGAAAACGCTCCAGGTATGAAACAAAAGAGACAACCTTCCTCTGTGATACTAGTACTATTTATTATTACAACTAAAACAATCTCAACTAGTATATTCATATGTGTAATGTAAAAAAGAGTCAACTGTTGTGACCAAATATCGTCTTATATATCAATATAATAAAATATCGATTCAAAGGAGTGGGGACTTTATGCCAATATTTGATTAGGAAAATGAAGGAGAATATTACACAGTGAAGAATAATAGTTTATTTTTGGACCTAGGTTGCAGATAACAAAGTCTTCTTCTTCTTCTACTTTTTGTAGATCTTTCGATCTGTTTAATTCTGAAGCTGCCTCTGGTTAATTTCTTGGGAGGTAGATTGCTAACTATCCCTCCATCTTTTAGGTGGTCTTCCGGGGGGTCTTGAACCAGGCGGATTGTTTTCTAGGGCAATTTTTTGGGAGTCTATTCTCATCCATTCGTTGTACCATATCCTCTTGCGCTGTCTTCCCCATCTTACAATATCTTGAATTTTGCACTGCTCTCTAATGTTTGTATTTCTCACTCTGTCCCTTCTTGTTTTCCCCATTATTGTTCTTAGGGTTTTCATTTCGGCAACCCTTAGCATCTGTTTCGTTTTGTTGGTATCTTCGCGCACTTCTATGCCATATGTCATGATCGGTCGTATGCAAGTCTTATAGATTCTAATTTTACTATCTGTGCGCATATACGGATTAGACCAGACTATCTCCCGCAGACAACCTGACAGTGCAGATGCTTTGTTGATCTGACTCCTCAGGTCCTTTACTGGGTCATGGGTGCTTGATATATCTATGCCCAGATATCTGAATTGCATCACCTGTTCTATGGGTTGTCCTCAACCACTAACTTACATCTGATAACAAAGTAATAACACATTATATTCCTAATCTCTAAGCCATGTCAACAGTCCTTCAGTTACATGCACATATTCATGAAAATTATATCAGTGCAAACGCTGAACAATTTTCTGATTCGAACCGTTGCAGATTGCTATGCTATAATTGCTGTATTTGAATATATTGTTAAGTATACTAAATGTAAGTTATATTTATTTTTGAACAATGTTAGAGATTGTTTCACACGTAAAAAAGTATTAGATGCATAGGAAGCAATATTTTCTTTACTAATACGAAATAATAGGTAACTTACTTTTTATCTTAAATTTAATTTAAATTATTAATTGAATTACATTAAAAATTATTAATTGAAGACTTTCTAAACTTATTACTATTCTATTATAAAAATATATTTTTGGCGGTAATTATTTAAAGAAAAAAAAATATCTTTATACTCTATTTAACTTTTTTCTTAAAAAATACTCACCAACAAGTATAACAACTGTTAACACTATCCACTTCATCTTAATGCAGTTTGGAACTCCTCACCATCACAGCTACTTTCAGTTTTATTTGATCTATTCAGCCAAGCTGTATTTATATATGCTTTTAAATAGTTAATCTATTAATAAATAATAATTATGGGAATTTTAGTAGAGTATTAGAGTATTATATTTTATAAATTTGTGGTGCGATGTTAATCTTAGACTTCTAAATAAGAATAGATTGGCAAATAATACGTTAATACGTGTAGAATACGTTATCAACTTTATTTTTCACACTTTTGTGGTATTTCCAGGTTTTCCTTTTCTTCTTCTTCGTGCAAGTATTATTTCTCCTATAAGTCTGCCTCTTATTCTGTTTCAGTCGTTGTTGACTGTACATTATCTTTTCACCTTTTTGGCGCCTTCCAACGGTCTTCTGCTATACGGTTTGTTGTTTTTACAGATGTTCGCTAATCTATCTGGACCCATTCGATTTACATATTCGTTCCCAGTTTTCTTTTTCTTGTTTTTATCCACCTGTTATTATTTTGACTTTTGCATTGTTCGCGTATACTTCTGTTGGTTTATCTGTGTCTTAATGATATGCCCGCTATTAATCTTAATACTTTCATTTTGATATTGTTGATTTGTTGTTTCGTCTTTCTTGTATCAGTCCTTGTCTCCGCTGCATATGTTAGAATTGGTCTTACTCTTGTCTTGTATACTTTCATTTTACTTTCCGTTGTCAGATATTTGTTTCTCCATATGGTTTCTCGGAGGCAACCACTTGTGGTCTTTGTTCTTATATCCCTGTCACTAGTGATTTTTACTCCTATGTAATTGATTTGTATTACTACTTGTTTTACAAATTTTCCGTCTATTTCTAGTTTGCATCTACGCAGCTCTTTACTGATCACTATAAATTTAGTTTTTTCTACTGATATTCTCATACTAAGTGTGTTTGCTGTGATATTGAAGGTGTGGAGCTGCCTTTGTAGGTCATCTTCGTTATCAGTAATTAGTACTGCATCATTGGCATAACATAGTACCGTGATATTATGCGCTTTTATATGGTATCCGTGTTGTTTTCTTACTTCGTGAATTATTTGATTCATTACCATATTGAATAACAATAGGCTGAGCGAGTCTCCTTGACGGATTTCTCCTTTTAGTTCTATGCATTCTTTCTCCTGTTGCTATTATAACTCTATTGTTCTTGTCGCTGTTGTCCTTGTCTTGTTGTTCTTGTTAATTTTATTAATTTTTATTATTATCTGATGGTCTATTTGTTCAGGTTGTAATAAATTTAAGATGTCATTTTGCTTCACCCTGCCAAAAGCACTTTTTAAAATCTATAAAGCGCATGTATGCTTATTTTCCATATTCAATAGACTTCTCTATTTTTTGTCTGATAATAAAAATTGCGTCTATTGTGCTGCGGTTCTTCCGGAAGCTTTGCTGTTCATCCGCCATGTTCGCTTTTTAGACAATTTTATCTTTTATGACTGCCGTGAACAATTTTAATGCCTCTATAATGTTCAGGATTTCTCAAGTCTACCTTTTTAAGTATCGGTAGCAGGTACTACTCCGGTATTTATTATATCGACGAATAATTTTAGGAGCCATTTGTGTGGTGTTGTCTCTCCATATTTTAGTAATTTATTGTTTATCTTATCAGAACCATTTGATTTTTCTGTGTTTTTTTTTTAATTTTTAATTTGTTCTTGTAGCTCTTCTTCTTATATTAGTACTGTATCGTGGGTTTCGTTAATGATTATTTCTCTGCTCTCTCCAGGTCTTATCTGTCTAAATATAAACTATGGTTTTATATAGAAGGAAAAAAGCCAAAATCAAGACACAACTCTACTTCAGGTAACAAAGAAAGAGTTAATACTCGGCAGCAAAGCAGTAAGTGCTAGAATCTTGTAAGACAGTTATTTTTTTTCTTAGGTATTTCACTATCAATTTTTTTTCTTTTTTTTTTTTTTGTTGTTGTTATAGTATGGATCCATACATTCGTGATGTAGACTACATTCCCGTAATTACTCATAAACCTAAAGATATTGAAGATTTTAATAAGTTAACTGCGGATTTTTATAAAGGTAAAAATAATGAAAATATTACCATTTTACACCAAAATATTAGAAGCCTAAATAAAAATCTAGATCAGTTACGATTAAATATACAACAGATGACACTTGATTTTGACTGTATATGTCTAACGGAAACTTGGATTATTCCTGATACATCTTTATTTCAAATAGATAATTATAACATTTTATATAATGAAGGAGATATAAATCAAAATGATGGTGTCATTGTATACATAAAAAAGAATTTAAGATTTACGTGGAGGGTTGTAAACATTAGTGTATGTAAGGTATTAGAGATAACTATATTAGGTAAATATAATCAAAATACAATATTAACATTAATTTATAGACCGCCATCGACGGATGAAGAACATTTTTGCATTGGTCTGGATAAATATTTAGAGAGCACTAAAAATGATAATTGTAAATATCATGTTTTATTGGGTGATATTAATATTAATATCAAAAACATGGCACCAGATTCGTCTGAGTATCTAAGTATATTGAGTGAACATAATTTTTTATCAATAATAAATAAAAATACTAGAGTTCAGGGCGATTCTCGAAGTTGTATAGATCACATTTTTGTAAAAAGTAAGTTTTGTATTAGTAATAATGTTTTACCAGCTGTTCTGGATCTTTCTGTGACTGATCATAAAGCAACATTTGTAAGTTTTTCTTTTGAAAAAAATAAAATTGAATGCAAAGTTAAGTTTAGAAAAATAGTTAATTATGATGATTTAAAAAGAGATCTTAGTTTTCAAAATTGGGATCACTGTTCTAATATGAATAACCCTAATGCTTTCTTAAATAATTTTACCGACACCCTTATTTCATTAATCAATAAAAATACCAAAGAAATAAAGAAAAAAAAATGTGAGGTTAAGCGAAACATCTGGATGACAGACGGCTTAATAAAAT